TGGTTATGGTTCTTTTCATTACATCTTGTGCTAATTACAATTACAAGCTTTTAATCCACAAATAAACACGCACACAAACTATTCTAACACACACACACACCCACCCTAGTGGTGGCCGACGGTGGCGGTGGCTATTCCCGACTTTCCGGCTAGACAAAACACACACTCCTATACTTTAGATTGCATACTACAATCCAGCCACCTACCTGGTGGCTCAAGGCGACGTCATAATAGTTTTTGGGTTGGCAGCCACCACCTCTCGGTGGCGGCGGCGGCGGCTTCTTTTCGGTTCCCCGACAAACAGCAACACTCCCCGACACTTCTTTGCTCGAAATCGGAACACAACCACGATCTGAAGACCGAACATTCCCCAACTCAGCCACAAGAGCTTCCTGTTGCTCACGAATCGCACAACGACAAACGCAACCGGTATTCCTCGGTCTCGACGGTTCTCCAGTGTACACGACTTCTCCGATAGTGGGGCTGTTGTGACGCTTAGACGGCGAAGGAGCGGCGCTTCTGGTGGTTTACGGTTCCACAGTGACAACAACTTCTCCAAACTCTAACCATTGCTGCTTCGTTCGACCGGTCTCGATGGGTCGCCATGGTCTTACGGAGGCAGCGGCTGTATGGACGAATAAGGGTGGCGGCGCCGGACTTGTATAATCGGAAAACGGACGAAGAAAAGGGGGTGGCAGATGAGAAGTCTCGCATGGCGGCTGAAGGAAATAACACTAGGGTTAGGGTTGAACGGAACCTGGAGGTTAAATACCCGGTTCACATAAACTACACTCCATAATGACACAAACGGCCCCTCACTTCCAGATTTATTTTCAAACTTAGTCCATAATTTACCAATTCGACCCTGCCCTCTTAAATTCCTTTTAAATCAAGCCCAAAACTTACACTTTAGCCCCTGGCCCATAAAATCTTCTCAATTTTAATCCAATAATTACCAAACATACCCTTGCTTCTATAATTCTTCTCAAAACAACTCCGTAACTTACTAAACAACCCCCAACCATCAAAATTCTTCACAAATTAGTCCGAGACTTACATTTATTAATTTATTTAAATAAACAGGGCGTTACATGAATAGAAGCCCATACCTCCGTTGTAGTAGCGTCCATTTTGATGATAGATTGAAGAACTTGTTGAGATAAGGTTCTGTAAAGCCACTGTTTGACTATATTGTCAATTGTTTCCCACTTGGGATCCGTAATGACTAAGGGAACCGCTTCAAGGTGATTGAAAACTTTGTAGCCAACACAATGAGTTTTGAATACCTTATAGCCGAATCCACATGGAGCATAAGTTACATACCATTTCATCCATATCTCCACCCTGATGACAAATAAACCAAAACTCTTATCCAACTTGGATTTCTTCCCTGGAATAAAGACGTCAACAATGGTAACAAACATGGCACATTCAATCCATACTCCCGAGTACCATAGTTGGTGAAAAGTTTGTAATGTAAAGAGTCTTGGAAAGTTTGTTAACATAACTAACATTTAAATACATTACTTGGATTGTGGAGCCGACCCCAACATGTTACTCATTGCTATTAACCATGATCCGATGACATTTGAACGAACATAATAAAAGAACCGGACGAAAGAAAAAAAAATAGTCAAATCTCTTAATTATGGTCTATGATTTGACATTGAAAAGATGAGAAGTTTGGTGAACAAAGAAAATTTTGAAATAATGATTCATATTTCAAGATTTTGGGTTTGTGGGTCCTTTGAAATTAATATGCCCATTTCTTGCTTACACTAATGTTTTGTGAAATGTTAGATGTGAGTTGATTTTTGATTTTTGATTTTTGATGAAAGATCAAAATATTGTTATCTTTTGCTTTGCACGATACCAACATCCCAGTAGTAGTAAAACAATTAAAACCAACTATTTGAACAACCTACCAAGCATGACTACCCATCTAACTAATGTTAAATTAAGTTTACTTTCTAAGATGATATAAAAAAGGTTATACTATACGTTTTTTATGTAATATATCCAAATTATGATCTATTTGATGTAAATAAAATATAAAGAAAACATTAAACTAACTATATGCATAGCCCACTCATAAAAGGCCAACCATGTAGTTTCCGTCAATCTAACCAGCGGCATCATCACCGGTAACCGCCATCAAGGAACGCACGCCACTTCAAAGAAGAGCTGGAGCGTCGTCGTGCTGTGACTGAGGTGATTTTTTTTTCTTTATTTCCGGGATCTTTTGATTCGATCGCTTATCATTTAATTTCAAATATGTATACACTGTTACGCAGGAAATACCAATTCTTCCTTTAACAACACAACCATTTCAGAAATTGGAAATTCATAAAAAGAAATAATACTTTTGTTAACGGCTTATGATCTAGTAATGATTGTGTTTCGAATTTTAATATATTAAAGGTGGATTGAAAATATATACAATCCGGTGATTCTGCATAATATGATCAAATTTACACTCTGTAATTCCTAGTTTCATAATCATTTTTTGTATGACGTTTATTTAATATTTTCTAATTACAGACTACAGAGGCCAAGGAGCCTAAGTTCAAATTGCAAAAATGAGGCCTTTGTAAGTTCTTTCATTTGACACATTAATTGTTATCATTTTGTTTAAAAGTATAGTGTCATAATATGTATGCAGCATGTTTGAGTTAGAGCATCCATGTACAATAAAGCTTATTTTGAGCTTTTTTATAATACCTAACACCAACTCATAAATTTAACAAGCTCAAAAATATATCGAGAATTAGAAAGTTTTTTGCTCGACTTATTTATGAGTCCCAATAATCAAATTCTTAAATATCATTTTAGTTGTTTGTATAAGTTGTCATTGATTTCTTGTAGAAGTTGTCGACATATACAATTGGTTGAAAATCTATGAGACCCACGCCACAATCATTGAAAAAACTCATGACAAAGTGTTTGTAATATTATTTACAAGATAAATGGAAAAACTTTGGATTAAATAAGCTCCCACAATAACATTATTTATTTATTATTATTATTATTTTTTTTTGACTCTTTACTCTTCAGAGCTAATTACAAAATAACCTCTTGAAAAAACTGATGCTCTATATTGCCTCATTGCTCATGCATGATAGTCACCATCTCTGAAAAAATAAAAAGTCCCTCCTAGTTTCAATGAAAATTTGATGTTGAAGCTCTGATTTGTATGGTCCAAATGGAGATATGCCAGTGATCGTAGTTTTTGTGAGAATAATTTATAAAAGAAACCTACAAAATGATGTTTAGATTTTTGTGCATATTCTACTAGAATGCTTAATTTTGATTTTTGAGAGGTCTCTTTGTGCATATTTTTTTCTCGCCTGATCAATAGTTATCTTAAGATTGATTTATAAAAAAAAAACAACTATAAGCGTGTCTAGGCCTAGCAAAGCAACTTGAGGTCTTCAAGCTAGCACACAATTCCTACACTTGCCACGAATGTGATTTAACTGGTTGCCATCATAAATCAAGTACTTCTTACTTCTTAGCTTCAACATGTTGACACCCTTAGCTATATGCATAATTTAATGTCAACAACTTCCTAAAATTATGTCAGTTTTTTATGTATGTTCGTTAGTTATTTAAATAACAGTTGAGTGCTTTTACACGATAAAAGAAACCACGAAGACTTTTTTATTTGTTTTGTGTTATTTGTTCACACTAACGGTGGACTTGGAATATAATAGATCTCCCACTTGAAGTATCTCAATATAAGGTAAGAACCATCAACTATGCATGCTATATTTCTTTTACTTTGCTTAGCATCCAGTTACACCATCCACTTTCAATAGTTCTAGAATGTCTATTGCTTACTCTAAGATATCACACAAGTTGCTTATGAATTACCGGTTTTTTAATCCGCCACATATTTTTTTAGCTTTTATTTCTAAGCCTATAGACTTTTAATTGCCTCACTTCTTGTGACCTCCTTCCCAAAATTGTGCCATGTCTTGTAGATAATGTATTATTTGGGTTACCTTTTTACGAGCATATCTTTGGTTGGGATACAGTTATATTAATCAACCATGTTATTGCTAAATGGTGAAGTTTACACGTTAGGGAACATATTCTTAGTCTTGGACTGAATTACCCATATGGAATTGGTGGTGTTATATATATATATATATATATATATATATATATATATATATATATATATATATATATATATATATATATATATATATATAACTTACAGGAGTCTGACCATTGACCAACAAACCCCTAGTTAATTCCTTTTGAATTTAACCTTATTTTGTAATTTCATGGAAATATCACTTATTACATATAAAGGGAGCTGAAAATCTTGCTCAAGGTTTAAGCAAACCTTGCACCTTCAATGAAGTCTTTTAGTCTCTTTTATATATATATATATATATATATATATTATATATATATATATATATATATATATATATATATATATATTCTATCCTTAACAGATCATATATTTCTGTCTTAGTCTAATGGAAATGAGGAAGTCTCCCTCACAATTTTATAGTTTTTATAAAAGAATCAATTAATTTAATGCAAAGGGAACTTGCATCTATATGCCACTGTACTAAACTTGGATCTCGAGCTGTTGCAACGTAAAACTAATTAGTTAATTAATTCATTGGAGTATATGACTTAATTAGTATTGAATACCATTCAATTCTCGTCAACCTAGCATTACTATTGCTTAGTTTAAACTTCTTACACAACTGGTTCACTTGTAGATCTTTGAGTACACTTGCCTCGTATTTTCTTTCAAACATTTTGTCGCCTTTCTAAGCTTTTTTATATTCTTGACACGGTTGAGTACAAAGGTTCATTCTTGGTATGACACCTTTTCACTGGGTATATAAAGTACCCAACCCCTTTCATCAATTCACCCCATTTTCTCCCGTTCCTTAATTATCTTTGGTAATCTACATAACCCACAACCCTTTTCCCTCTAGAAAGCTACCAAAACCTCTCTGTTATTCATAGGCATGGATAAACTTGTCTTTTACTTGCTAATTCTCCTTAACACCATTCAATACGTCTATGGTGCTGGTACCAATATCACCCCGCTTGACTTTGTCAAAACCTCTTGCAAAACCACCCGCAACCAGGCTCTCTGTGTCAACTCTCTCTCAAGTTATGCTGGTTCTATCCAAGGAAGCGATCAGCAGCTTGCTAAAGCAGCCATTGCGGTTAGTCTTAACAATGCCAAGTCAGCAGCTGCACTCGTTTCCAAACTGTCTGGAACCTCGAAACTAAAACCACAAGAGTACCAAGCACTGAAAGACTGTGTCAATAGCATGATCAGCTGTATTGCAAGTCTAACCCAGTCAGTTCAGGAGCTTGGTAAGATGGGTCAGTTTAAGGGCAAGAATTTTGATTGGCACATGAACAGCCTTCAAACATGGGTCAGTTCTGCCCTTACAGATCAAAACACTTGTGCTGGAGGGTTTTCTGATGGATCAATGAATGGAAAAGTGAAGGATGCTCTTAATAAGAAGATGACTTCGGTTGCACAAGTCACCAGCAATGCACTTGCTTTAGTAAATGGGTTTGCGTTGAGGCATAAAGCAGGTACTCATAAACCTTAAGGGTTATACATTTCAGTGGAAAGAGGTTGGCCTTCTAGTAATATCGTAGTGTGCCACAAGTTTTTTTATCCTTAATAAGGATTGTGTTTTTGACTGGCCTATGTTACTGGTTTCCTGTAAAACATGTTACTTTCTGTGGCTAAGGTTATTCCTTGCTCAGGTTTTTGTTGCCTTACGGCTAATTTTATAACAAATTGTAGTTAATTAATGTAATAAAGATGGCACCTTATAAGATAACTTTTGTTGTTTTTGGACAAGTGAAGGATCCCTTTTCCACCTTAACATGCATATATTGCATCGAGGTCCGGATTTGTGCAATTTGGAAACCTTTCGTAAATGCTGTTCTGAAATTAACAATGACTCTAATGTTTGCTTTTGGACGTAGCACGATTACACCGATCGTGTCAACCACATTAATTCTCATTATTATGTGTTTATCATTATAAACCCTAACTAAAAGGTCGTTTAACAGTCTGGTTGAATGCTATGTTTACAATAATATATTGGACGGAATTACCCACAAGAATGGTGTATTACACAACCATGTCCACGAGGCATTCGCTTCATTTTAAGTTTTGGGAACCAAAGAGCAGCAAAGAAAACTTCAATTTGAAGCGGATTTCTAGTAAAAGTTAGACCTGAAGGACATGTTCCCACTGCAACCTCCAATAATTTTAATCCCTTTGTTATGCATTTGTTTTAAAATATTGCTGGAAAATCGAATATAAAATCATGGGAGTATACAAAGCCTGGAAAGACCATCTCACCAACAATAAGCTAGTCAAGCAAACTAAACATTTTTTTTCCTGAATTCGAGTGATTCGATCGCTTATTCGTAATTTTAATTCCCAACAAGGAGTCTTCATTGTTAATTGTGGGAAAAGCCTCATCAAATGGAGGTGTATATTGCAGAATATATTTATACAATACAAAGTTACAATTGTGTCCCTACAATATACACAATATATAAAAACTAATATATACTAACACACACCCTCAGTTTGAGCTTGGGTTTACAAATGTTCAAACTGTCCCGAAAATCCAGAAATAACTAAGTAGGAAGATCCTTTGTAAATATATCTGCAAACTGGTGAGTCAACGACACGTGCAAGACACGCACATGACCAATGGCAACACGTTGCCTAACAAAATGTAAATCTATCTCCACTTACTTGGTACGTTGGTGCTACTGGGTTAGAAAATACATACATGACACTCACATTATCGCAAAACACAAATGTTGCTTTAGAGAACATACAAGATAACTTAAGAAGGAGATTGCGAAACCAAGTGGCTTCAACAACCACATTAGCCACCCCACGATACTCACCCTCAACTGAGGAGCGAGAAACAACATGTTGGAATTTGGAGGACCAAGAAACAAGATTATTGCCAAGATAAGCAAAAAACCCAAAAGTAGACCGACGAGTGTGAGGACACCCGACCCAGTCAGCATCAGGATAGGATACCAAGTGTTTAATGGAGGAAGGTCGAATAAACAGACCATGAGAAAGAGTACCCCTAAAGTTATTGAAGGATATGTTTAAGAACAAGAAGATGAGGTTCACACAGATCATGCATGAAGAGACAAATTTGTTGCACAACACATGCAATGTCAGGACGAGTGAAAGTAAGATACTGTAAGGCACCCGCAAGACTTCTGTAGAGAGTGGGATCAAAGACAAGAGAGCTGTGAGGAGAAAGTTTAGATTTAGTGTCAGATGGGCTACTACACGGATTGCAAGAAGACATGTCAACACGAGCTAAGATGTACTTAGCAAAGGAAGTATGATATAAAAATAGACCTTCCTCAGATCGAGAAGCAGGGATACCAAGGAAGAAGGAAAGAGGACCCAAGTCAGATATAGAAAACTTAGACGAGATACGCGAGATAATGCGAGTGATGATAGTGGAGGAGGAGGCGGTGAGGATGATATCATCAGCATATAAACGAAGGAAGATATGGTTGGAACCATAGTGATAAGTAAATAAAGAACAGTCAGTCCGACTGCTAGTAAAGCTGAGAGAGGTGATGAAAACAACAAAGCGTTGGAACTAGGCTTAGGGAGCCTGTTTGAGACCATAAAGAGCTTTGTGAAGCTGACAGACATGATTAGGAAAGGAGGGATGAACATACCCAGGAGGGAAAAATGCCAAAGAAAAGTTCAAAGGGAGTTCGAAAAGCAAGAGTGGATGTGGGAAGGAGATTAAGGGTGTGAACAACAGTGAGGAGAGCTTCCACCAAAAATATTGGAGACAGGGAGGCTTGAAACAGGTAGGTTTGAATAATGTTATTAATGGTTCATATGGCTCTTTCAACCTTACTGTTCTGTTAGGACGTATATGGACATGAGAAATGAATTTTAATTCCCTTATGGGCAAAGAAAGTGAGAAGATATTTATTATTGAATTCACGATTATTATCACATTGGAAAAGTTTGATGTCAGATTTAAATTGAGTTTGGACATACGCATGGAAGTTAGAAAAAACATTAAAAACATCAGATTTTTCCACGAAGATGGAAAACCCATAAGAAATGAGTAAACTCTTAAAAAAAAGAATATAATATTTAAAACCACTTAAATTAGAAATAGGTGATGTTCATAAATCCGAATGCACCAATTCAAACATACTAGAAGTTTTAGTTATAGGCGAAGAGAAGGGTGAACGACAATGCTTCCCAAGCTGACAAGCATGACAGATGGGAAGTTTAGTAGTAGTACTAGAAATAAACTTGCGAAAATGTAAAAAATTCAAAACAGATGAGCTAGGGTGACCAAGACGCGCATGCCAAGTTGGGAGAGACACATCAACACAGCTGGTGTCTGAAAAAGAAGGAGTCGACGAGAGGAGAATACTGTAAAGATCACCGACACTATCGCATCTTTGAATAAATGCACGTGTTTTAAAATCCTCCACAGTGAAACAAAAGCGTCAAAAGTTATAGAGACAGAGTTATCAACAGTGAACTGACATACATAAATGAGATTGTTAACACTTTTATTTGAGACAAGTAAGTTATTTAGCACTAAACAGTTGCAAGAATGCGGAAAAAAAAAGTTTGACCGATGTGAGTAACAGGAAGTATAGCACCATTACCAAGCATTATAGATCTAGAATTACACGACGATAAGTAAAGAATGTTACCTGATTTGAAGGACATGTGAGAGCTAGCACAAGAGTACATGTAAACATTGTTGTCAGGCGGCGGTTGAACAAATATGTCTTGAAAGATGGATGATATATCTGTGAATTGCTGAGGAGCAGTTTGAACGTGGCGACCAAAAGCGGCTCCATTAAAAAATTGTTGCTACTAAAAATAACCCGAAGGCTGCTGTAAAAGATGACCGTAAGGCACCTGACTCGGCTGTTGAGAAACAGGTACGAGGGGTGTGGTTGCTGAAAAAGATCTCGTGACTTGATTCGGATGTTGATGAAAAGAGAACTGTTGATTCGGTGAGAATGGCCCCTATTGATAGGAGTTGTAAGACAGCAAGCTTGGATGTTGCAGGAGCTGCTGGTGCGAAGTAGTTGGGATAATAGCGACGAGACCAGAGGCCGCAAAAGGAGGAGGCAGCGGAACATTTCCCAGAATTCCAGAAAATTGCGGTAGTGAATCAAAATGATTTCCAAGAGCATTATTTTTTGAATTGTTTCGGTAATTTTTCCTATTTTTCGACTGCCATTATTTGGATTTGCCCGAATTGTTGGATAGGGAAAAAAGAGCCGCACTGTGAGATATGGATGAATCAATGAAAGAATCGGAAGCCATATCTCAAGACTCATGAAGTAAAATCATGTTCTTGGCCTCATCAAATGGAGGCGTATATTCCAGAATATATTTATACAATACAAAGTTACAATTGGGTCACTACACTGTACACGATATATAAAAACTGATATAAACTAACATTCATTACACAATGGTGTAGCGAATATGAACACGAGTGGAATGAATGAATTAAGAGACCTTGATAAGTTAATACAAATATTTGTTGTACACCATAGTTTATCCGTTTCATGTTGAAACCCTTTGAGAAGTTATGTTGTCTGATAAAAAAATTCATAAAATTTTGTGAATAACTAAAAATGTTGTTAATCAATTATCATTGGGTGATGAGTGTTTTTTGAATATTCTTAGTGTATCCTACATTAAAGCAACATAGTACCTTATCAAAACAAGATCCTTTAATCATATATGTTATGTTGGAGTCTCTATTCTCTCCATAATGGCTCTTTTGGAGAATTAATATGTGATTCCATATATATTTTCCAAATATAAGTACATTGAAGGTGGATGGAAAATAAATACATACCGGTGATTCTAATTATATATATATATATATATATATATATATATATATATATTAGATCTAGATATGCCTTACGAACAGTAAAAAAAATGAGTCGGAGTTAACTTTGGAGATGTACATTTTGGTCTCTCTGTTTATCACGGTTACCCATTATGATCCTTAGGGTACCAACGTGGTGATATTTCGTTGTTTTAGAAGTATAGCATGTGCCAGATGTTGCCAACACATCCATAGATCCTAATTCCTTCCACATCACACTCGAACTCCTTTCCGTCTCTAACAATTTGACATACATCGTCGATGTTTTCTTTGAAGTTCCGAATATTGTCCAGCAGCGTGTTACCACCGATGCTCCACTAGACATATGTAAAGCGTAAATCCTCTAGGTAACCATTGAATTTGGATTCAAAAAAGCCCAAGAGTTAATTGAAGTGTAAGTCAGTCCACGACCGCCATACATGGTGTATTATGTATATCAATTTATCCAGTTAGTTCCATCTCATCCTTCTATTTTGATGCGTCGACACCTTCTCATAGTTATGATTACAACACCAAATGAAGGTGAATAGAAGAGGAGGGGTATATCTGGAATCAATAATCAAACAAAGTTGAACGGAGGAGGAGGGGTATATCTGGAATCAATAATCTAGTGTGACAATTGCGAATTTTCGTCACCAATCCTCACT